AAGTGCCCACCCCCGACGGCGGAGCTCGCGCTCGCACTTCCGGCAGGAGGATCCCGGCCCGTAACGCCCACGGCTGAGGTGAGTGAGGGCGCGGCAGGCCTTCCGCGCGCTCCCGGGGTCCGGGAGGGAACTGGGGAGGGGCGGGGAGTGGGGTCCCGGCCCGGCAACGCGCGCCGCGGCTTGGGGCCTACCCGGGTCTTGCCCCTCCCGGGCCTTGGTCTCCCCGCCGTGGAGGGCCCGGGCCTCCGCGCGCGCTCTCCTTGGCATTTCCTGAGCACCCGCGACGTGGCCCAGGCAGGCATCACACCGACCTGCTGGCCCTGCGCTTGCAGGGGCCGCATCTCGCGGTGGGGTGGGAATTGGAACGGGCAGTAAACACGTGTGCAAACAAGGAAACGACACGTAGTGGGAGGTGCCACGAGTACTGGGGTGGGAGGGGGTGGCCCAGGAGATTTAGCCGAGCATAGGTCTGTGGAAGAGTGTTCTGGGCAGAGGGGACAGCAAATGCAAAGAGGGAAACAGACTTGGTGTGTTGGACAAGGGGCCAGGGGCCAGCGGCCAGCGTGGCAGGGAAGGGAGGGGAGAGTGAGGTTGCAGATGTGGGCAAAGGCCAGAGGGTGGGAGGCCTACATCTCACGCCTGCTAGGTTGGGATTAGTGCTGTGAGGGCCTGGTTTGCTTTCTGGGCTCAAGCCATCTCTCTGGCTGAATTGTGGGCTCCAGGCTGTAAGAGGGTAAGAGGAAGCAGGGACACCAGTTAGGAGACTTGTTAACTTTGAGAAGGTGCTCCCTGTAGGCTGGATAGTCATGGGGACTTCCTGCAAGTGGGGGACCTAGACTGGGTTGTTATAGGAAGGGCAGGGTTTAAACAGTGGAAGGAGGGCTTTGCAGTGTTGGAGTACGAACTGCACCAGAAGCCAGAAAATGAAAAGTCCATTCATAGAAGGGTGCAGACTGCCCTGACTTGGAACCTTGGGGAGAAAGTGCCAGGGGAAAACTCTTTTAGTGCCAGCATGCCCCTGTGCTTGTCTGTGGGATGCAAGCAATTGGTCTCAACAGGGAGCATTTTGCCCCCCAGGTGACAGTTGGCAAGATATGGAGACATTTTTGGTGGTCAGCACTTGGGATGAGAGGGAAGGGATGCTACAAGCATCTACTGGGTAGAGACCAGGGATGCTGCTAAACATCCCTGGAAGGCCCCTTCCCAACAAAGAATTATCTGGTCCCAAATGTCAATAATGCCAAAGTTGGGAAACAATGGTATAGAGGAAAGAGCATGGATGGGCCTGGAGTTCTGTTAGATGTGGATTTGGTGCCCGCATGCTCCACTCTTCAGCTTTGTGAGCAGGAGTCTGATTGTGGGAGGTGTAGGCAGAAGCAGGGAGGACCATAGAGGAGGCTAATGCATTGTGAAGGAGAGAGAGCATGGTGACTTGGATGGTAGTGGTGGAGGTCAGGAGATGGGACTCTATTTGGAATATTCTTTTAAGATAGAGCTGATAGTTGTCTGTTGATTGAATGTGGGCTGAGTCAAGGATGAGAACAAGATTTCTGGCCTGAGCAACCAGGTGAGGGGGCCCCTGGCTGAGGTGGGAAGAGGAGCAGGTTTGGACAGAGGGTGGATGACTTCTGGAAAACGGGAGTCCTGGACAGGCTATGTATGAGATGCTTGATGTTAGCCATCCAAGCAAAAATTACAAGGAGGCAGTTGGATGTTCTTCTGGAGTTGACTGGGGGTTCAGAAGGAGGGATACACGCTGGGGAGATACAAGCTTACATTTCAAGGAATGGGACCGCAGAGGGTGACCTAGCACCGGCGTCTTCAACCCACTGGATACAACACCCTCTTTTTCAAGACAAATATTTCATTAACAACCCCCCTTATTATCCTCAAATGAAACTTATGGTTAATAAAAATATCCTACACATGAATTTTTTTAATTGCATTTGCTCTAACTATAATATAAAAGAGAAATAAAAGGAAAGCAATTGACAATAAAATAAAATTATTAACTCAGTATGTAAGTTCCTGGGCACTGGAAGCTGCATTGAAGCAGTCCCTGCTTTCACCTCTCTGTAGAACTTTCTAGAACGTGAAAGCCATGGTGCAGACTGCTGCAGCCGTGTTGTGTGACAGCTTGAGTACCACGTGTGCCACTGCTGTTAGATGATACCGTTTTTCCCAGCTGGGAACTCGTCGTTCTGTCTTATCAAAAACTGTTCCATCTCCTGTCAGTGTCTGTGGCAAATGCATTCTTGGACATTTTAGTGCATGGTAGAACCATGGAAAATTTGCTCCGTGTTCCATGCGAAACAGAGTTGGGATCTAGGTTTGGGGAATTATAAATAGATCTTCTACCTGCCTGAATGTCAAAGTTACGCAGGTTACAGAACAATTCTTGGTTACGTAGGTGGTTCCCCCATAGTCTCCACTCACTAAAAGCTAGAGTGCTCCCAAAATACCACGGGTTTCCAGAGTTCCCCTGAAGAGAACCACAGCCTAGGGTGTCCTTCGGGCAAAGCCTTGTGCCAGCTCTGAGTTCGCTTTCGGGGAGGGGAGACGATAAGCCAGATTCCAGAGTACAGAGCTGAATGGAATTTCTCCCTTCAGGAAGGGCTAGGGGTGGGGGAGCTAGGGTATATCTGATCAGATGGTTCTAGGAAGAAGGAGGTGGCATCTCAGCAGGGTGAGAATGTCTCAGAGGAGGAGATGGAGGAAGAGGGACACACGGATGGAGCAGCTGGGGAAAACCACTGGACCTGGGTGGCCTGGTCTCCCACTCATTAGGCTCAGCTGGATTGATAGGGAGGCCAGGGGTGGTGGTGCTGGTTGCCTTTGGCAAGACCCTAGGCAGGCACCGCCTCTATGGGAGTGGTTTTTAGAGGCCAGGGCACGGGATGTATTAGTTTTCTGGTCTATTTTCATTGTCTTCAAGGCCAGATCAGTGCCCTGAAAATCACGTGCCTTCTCTTGCATCAAGCCAACAATCCATACGGTGAACTTTCCATGTGTCAGGTGAATGTAAACTAACACAGATACCGCGGCTCCCATCTGTGTGGAGCTCACAGCCCCCCAGGGGATACAGCCAGCACGCAGATCATCAGGCTTTGCACATGTGTGATGAAGGAAAAGTAGGGGACCCATCAAGGGGGCTGTGCTCCCCAAGGAAGTGACGTTTGAGCTGAAGATAAGTAGGACCAGTTGAGGAGGGAATGAAGGCAAAGCGGAGTGTTTGGTTCCGTCTGGCAGCAGGAAGGAGCCCGGTGTGTTTGGGGAAAGGAAAGCCTTCCGGCAGGATGAGGGCAGGAGACCTGGTACTGAGGCCGGAGAGCCTGGCCGGGCCGAGCAGGCCTTCTTAGCTACGGGAAGAGTTTTGGTCTTTATCATAAGAGCCCTGCATGCTCCTGAAGGGCTGCAGTCTGATCTGACATGATCAGATTTACATTTTCAAAAGGTCACTTTGGTGGAAATTCATGGAGAACCACTTGAGGTGACAGGGGAGTGGATATGTTGGGGCCGGATGCCAGCGGGCTCCTTCCTGCTGTCCTGTCTGCTTGTTCCCTGCGGGGCAGGCCTGGGGTGGGCGAGTCAGGTAGCCCTCCCCCTGCCTGAGCCACCGGAACTGCCTTTTCATCTTTCTAGCCTCAGACCTGGGGTTAATCATGGAGAGGGTCAACGCGGGCCACCAGCCCCTCAGGTGAGGACGGTGCCTGCGGCTCTGTGGACAGTTCTGAATCATGGAGGCAGAGAAAGTACCGGCCAGGAGACTTTCTCGTTGAGAGCTGTGGGCCCGGCCCTCCAGCTCTTCCTGCCGGCCGTCTTCAGGAGAGGTGCTGCCCCCGCTGACCCGAGCCAGGAAGCTGCAGCTTCCCCGGATGGGGAGGTGGGCCCTCGACCTGGCCTTCGTGTGGAAGGCGGGGCTGACTCTGGGGCTGGTCCTTCTCTACTACTGCTTCTCCATTGGCATCACCTTCTATAACAAGTGGCTGACCAAGGTAAGGCTGAGGCCTCACGGTGCCAGGGCTGGATGGAGGTGGCTGCAGCCAAGGCTACAGTGCCCGCCCCCCACCCCGATATTTAACAGCAGGAAGGCCCTGGATTCAACTAATTCAATTAACTGAAAGCCTGTCACACCAGTGATGGGACAGGGCCATGCCAGGGATTCTCCTTAAATATTTGGGTAAAGGGGAAATTGGGAAAAGGGAGACACTGAGGATAGCTGGAGAATTTGAGCCCAAAGCCAGCAGCTGCTCGCCAGCCAGTGAAGTAGTTCAGTATTTTGATAGTTGCCACAGTCATATGGGTCCACCTCAACTCCTACCTGGGTATGTGCCATGGGGTTGGGCTGGAGGGAGCTCACAGTCCTGTTAAAGTGATGGCGACTGCACCAGTCTATGACTGCCCCCTCTTCTGCCCCCTGCTGTCTGTGTGACCTCCAAAACTGGGGAGAATGTAATGTGGGGGAAGGCCTCACGTACACTGCAGAGCCCCAGGAACTACTGAATTAGCGCTGCCACCACCAGAGGGAGGCGAGGAGGGAGGCGAGACCCCGCGGGCAAGGCTGTAAAGGCGCCCTCTGTGCTTTGGGCTCCGTACAGAGCTTCCACTTCCCCCTGTTCATGACGATGCTGCACCTGGCCGTGATCTTCCTGTTCTCTGCCCTGTCCAGGGCCCTGGTTCAGTGCTCCAGCCACAGGGCCCGTGTGGTGCTGAGCTGGGCCGACTACCTCAGAAGGGTCGCTCCAACAGGTATGTGCCCACTGGCCGGCCCAGGGGAGGGCCTGAGTGGGCGGAGGAAGCTCGGAAAGCCAGAGGTCCAGAACGAATGGAAACCTCAGAAAGGAAGCCTCGTGGCTTGAAGCTCAGGCCCTTCCCCTCTCACTCCTCTGCCTGCCTCCCTGACCCCCACTTCTGCCTCTTAGCCATCCTGTCTCCCCACCCCACCAGGCACACCCAGAGAAGCTTTGGCACAGCGGTGGCCTTATAGTCCCCTCACCCTTGAACACACACTGAGTAGGCACTATGGCCTGGAGACAGCAGTGGGCAGAGCATGTAGTGCCTGCATGCGTTCTGCCAGGCAGGCACCGGGGGCCCACGGAGCACCAGGGAGGGAACCAGCCACAGCCCGTGGGCGGATGCACAGGGAGGGTTTCCCAGAGCAAGGGCTGAGTTGGCTGAGACCTTGCGGGGAGTGGGTCTGGCGGATCCTGGGAGGGCAGGCATTCCTGCCTGGGGGAGGTTCAGTGTGTGGGTGGGTCTGAAAGGGAACTGCAAAGCATCTCAGGATACTGAGGACTCTGTGTTGTTGAGAGGAAGTGGAGTTGCAAGAAATGAGAAGTCCTCTGGGGTCAGATCCTGGCAGACCAGGTCCTCTGGGAGGAGTGTGTGTCTATCCCGCGGGAGATGGGAACCACTCTGAAGAGCTTCCAGTAAGGGATCAGCAGGATGAGGTTAATACCTCCATCAGGGGGATGTTCAAAGTGTTTTTAACAAGTGGGAACAGCACAGTCAGAAGGGACTGCAGCAGCCCCCACCCACCTTTTTGGGGGCCAGGAGTTAACCCTTCAGTTGCTGGGTAGAAAAAGAGGAAGCCAAGACAAAGAGGCCAAAGAAGGGGGGTACTCAGGCGCCTCATGGCAGTATTCTTATCATTGGCTGCGGGTCCTCTGGGCACCCCTTGTCTCCACAGCCCTGGCGACAGCGCTTGACGTGGGCTTGTCCAACTGGAGCTTCCTCTACATCACCGTCTCGCTGTGAGTACCAACCCCACCCCGCCACCTCCCTTTGAGGCTCCGGCTCTCACTGTCTGTCCAGCTGGCTGGCTGTGTACCCGGCGGCGGGCCAGCCACCAAGCCACTGTCCGGGACCAGCCCTTGTCTCTCCACTCCTCCCTGACACCCAGCAGCTCTCCCAGGAGTCTCCAGCCTCTTCAGGAACCCGGGCATGGAAGGGATGTGTGCCTCCTTGCCAGGCGGCCCGGCGACAGGACAAAGGAGAAAGGGCACTGATGGGTGTGTGGTGCACACGGCTGCTCAGGGGCCGGCAGAACAGTTATTTCTTATCTCTGACTTTGTGCTTCAGAGAGCACAGCCCCTGCCTTCTCTTTTCTCCCCTCCTTTCATTCTTCCCACCTTATCCTGGTCTCACTGAGGGGTAGGCAGGTTGTAGGACGCCATAGGCTCAATGTCGGACCTGCAGCCTTTTCTCCCTGGTGATAATCAGAGACCTCTTAGTCAGAGATTTCTTGTGATTAAAAGTCACGTGTCAGCCGAGAGGACTCAGGCCACCTTTCTTTGGTGGTCTGTATCCAGATTGCCCTGCTGCCCTCAGGAAAGTCAGGGGTCTCCCCCAGCCTTTTCCAGAAAGGTGCTGCCGGCTCCTTTCTTGGCAGTGGGTCTGCGCCCCGGGCTCCAGCAGCTCATCGTGAGTAATTTTCCCTTCCAGGTACACAATGACCAAATCCTCGGCGATCCTCTTCATCCTGATCTTCTCTCTGATCTTCAAGCTGGAGGAGTTGGTGAGGCCCCGGCTTTCCTTGTGTCCCTCCTACCCCCATAGATGCTAAGAATAAAAAGGGGAACCTGAGCAGTGGCTTGTCCTTGTGTGTGACCGAGGAGACAAGGCCAGCCCAGGCGGCAGTAGCTCTCTGAGGAAGGACCTAGACACAGGGCACTACTAAGAATACTTAGAAACCAGAGTGGCAGGAGCGGTGACCAAAGGAGAGAGGGTTCAAAGACGAGGGCCCAAGCGGCGGGTCCTGGACGCTCCCTGCAGTGGGGCAGGAGCCCTTTGTTCGCTAGATCCGGGGGGTTGTGGTACAGCCACATGGGGGCCCAGGACAGCTGTAGAAAAGCTCTGCAGTATTTCAGGATGTTGGGCACATGCCAACTGGATGTCAGCCGTGTGCATCGTTGGGAAGGAGCTGGCCAGGACCCTGGATTAGGGCAGATAGAAGGGCGTCTGGCCTCAGGGCAAACCAAGATGGCTGCTGACCCCCAAACTCCAGGCACTCGAGACCCTCAAGTTGATTGCAACTGCTCCCCATCCTTCCAGCGTGCGGCACTGGTCTTGGTGGTTCTCCTCATTGCCGGGGGCCTCTTCATGTTTACCTACAAGTCCACGCAGTTCAATGCCGAGGGCTTTGCCTTGGTGCTGGGTGCCTCTTTCATCGGTGGTATTCGCTGGACCCTCACGCAGATGCTCCTGCAGAAGGCGGAACTCGGTGAGAGAGGGGCCCGGGCACCAGGCCGGGTGGAGGCAGGCCAGGCCAGGTCAGGCCCAATGGCTCACCCATGTCGCGTTCTGCAGGGCTCCAGAACCCCATTGACACCATGTTCCACCTGCAGCCACTCATGTTTCTGGGGCTCTTCCCGCTCTTTGCCATATTTGAAGGTATGTTGGGTCATCCACAGCAGGGCCACCATGGTGCAGCAGATCTCCCATCCCTGCTCTGAGCCCATCACGGTGATAGCTGCAAGGTTACGGAGATCAAAGATGCTGTCCCTTCCCTGGCAGTGCCTGGTTTGGGGGCTGGTCAGACACTTAAACCAAATGGCTAGAATCCAGCACGATAAATGCTACCTAGAAGGTATATGCAAAACATAGCAGGTGGTAATGATGGTGAATGCAGACAAGCCCTAAAGGTATACCAGAGCTGTTCTGATGATTTTATTTTATTTTCTATTTTTTATGTTTTAAAATTTTATTTATTTTATTTTTAAAATTTAAGTATAGTTGATTTTGATCATTTTAAACATTAGTTCCTTTAATATTCCCCAAAACCCCATGTGGCAGTACTATTACTCTCCCCATCTTGCAGGCGAAAGAAACTGAGGCAGAGAGAAGTAAAGATAGCCTTGCCCAAGGTCCCACAGCTCAGAAACAAGCCCCAAATGTGGAGCCAGCAGAGTCCCTCCTCTTGACCATTACGCCTTCTTTCTCTTAGGAGGAACAGAGGGTCATGAATTGTTTCAGGATGAGGGGGTAAAAAAGCAAGTCAAGGCTTCCCAGACAATGCATTTTGGAGAATGAATGTGATTTTGACAGCCTGATGAGGACAGGCATCCCAGGAGACAGAGAGTAGGTTCAGACGTGGGGAGGAGTGTGCACTTCTGGGCAGGGGTCTGCTGGGGGCCCCGAGGTCTGGGTCGGGTGGGTGGCACATAAGAGCCGAGGCAGGGAGAATTGTCCAGGCCGGAGATGCAACACCACCTCCCTTTCCCCAGTGTTCTGGAATTAATCTTTGTCCCCTGTCTGTATATCCTTCCTCCCAGAGTCCCTTCTGTCCTCAGGGTCATTACAGAGAATTCTGTCCCACATCCATTTAAGTTTCAAGCAGTGAAGCGTCTCAAACCTCTCTGAGAAAATTATTCTGCAGCCCCGTTGTCCAGGAAACTTATGTTCTGCAGCCTCTTTTTTTTACCTTTTTCAAAATCTCTCGCCATCCCTTCCTTATGCCCCCTGTACCAAATGCTGCACTCTCCCTCCCTTCCTGGGTGTTTACACCATTCCCCATCTCTGCAAACCCTCATCCGAAAGCCCCTGGTAGTCATCACTTAGCAAAGCTGCATGGATTTAGCTCCTTTAATCTTTTCTGGTAAATTAATCCCCCAAGCGCCTTCATTACTATGTTGCTCTTCCCCGAATTCCCTTCAATTTGCCGACGCCTTTGCAGTACTGCTGAGCCCAGCACCAGACGAGATGTCCTACATCAGGAGGCTGTTTGCCATGGAGGCGGGGACGGGGGGACTATCACGCTGCATTTCTTTGGTCTTTCCCTCCAAAAATCTCAAAGTACTCAGCCAGCCTCCCACTTGCGCAAGTGTCCGTTGTGCCTAGTTGGGGCTCACCTTCAGGGGGCCTTTCCTGCAGGGAGGGACCCAAGGAACTGTTCTCTCAGATGGACAGTGTTGAAGGGCTGAGAGTCCTTTGAAGTCTAAGCAACACTTGGTGTGGGTATGCCCGTGTGGTTGTCTCTGGAACAAGGGACCATGGTTTTGTAATATCTTGATATATGTGTATGTGTGTGTGTTTACTTTCTGAGAGCTGTTCATCAAATTATACAGTCTGGTCTAATCCCAGCCCTTTTATTTTGTCATCGAGGAAACAGGTCTAGAAAGGGGGCATGTCTCAGCTGAAACCCACAGATATGTAATAGCAAGACCCAGATTAAATAGAGGTTTATAAGGATAGAGTTTCATCCCTGTTTATAGGTGGCCCACCTGAAATTTAAGGGATTCCTCCAGTGGCTCAGGGCATAGGCACTCCTCATGTAATGGGCTACCCCATCTCCCTGGCCCACTGGGTTTCACAGCTGCCAAAGCCACGTGAAGTCACCTTCCCCGCCTCCCCCCACAGACAGGTCGGTACACACTGTGAAGGAGCAAGGTGCTTCCTCCCGATTTCCTCTGCGATGCAGCCCCTCATCACCATCTCTGGCTTGTATTGACCCAGGGCTCTCTGACAGCCATTACTGCTTCCCTGGTTTCCCTAAGTCTCAGGCCATCTGCGCAGGATTCTCTGACACCTCCCATCCTCGTGCTCAGAGCCCCAGGTGGCAGGTGCTCAGAGAGCGTGCGCGGCAGCAGCCGCAGACCGCACGCAGGCGGGGGGCAGGGTGAGGCTCCTGGGCGAGCACACCCAGGACGTGGCCTTCCACTCCCCCCTGTTGCTTTCAGGTCTCCATTTGTCCACATCTGAGAAAATCTTCCGTTTCCAGGACACGGGGCTACTCTTGCGGGTACTTGGGAGCCTCTTCCTTGGCGGGATTCTCGCCTTTGGTTTGGGCTTCTCTGAGTTCCTTCTGGTCTCCAGAACCTCCAGCCTCACTCTCTCCATTGCCGGCATTTTTAAGGTACAGTCTTGGAGGTGACCCCAGTCCTGTCCTAGAGGGGAGCCCCCCCAGGGTGTCCCAGCTCCTGCATCCCAGAGCCCTGCAGAGAAGGGACAGAAGTGCCCAGTCAGGGTTCTGCGTGCTGTGCTCTTACCTGTACTCCCTCCGTCACTACAGCCCTGTGAGGTGGGGATGAGCATCCCTGCTTCACAGATGGGGAAACAGGTGTAAAGAGCTTCTCATACCCTAGGATACACAGCTAGGAGGTAGCCGGGCTGGGATTCAAAGCCAGGTCTGACTCCACTAGGCCTGGGATGCATTTACATTGTACCAGGAATGCTAACTCTGGTCCGTTGGCAGTGGCCTGGAGCCAGTGGTAGAGAAGCCCCCAGCCAGACATCAGTAAAGAGTTCTGTGATTGATTGGCAATGCCTGCCATGGGCACAGTAAGGAATGGTTATATCATGAGTGCACTGTGTTTGCCAGGCCTGCCTTTACTAGCAGCATCCTTGCCTTTTCATTCCATCACTTCTCCCCTTTCCTCCCCCACCATCTCTCCCTCCTCCCTGCTCGGGGCCACGGACCAGGCAAACAGTGATACTAGAGCAGTGGTGCAGAAAACCAGAAGTTTAGGTCTGCCCTGAGGGTCTTCTGGTTACCAACCAAAGGATGAGGCATAAGCTGTCATCCTCAGAATCATCTGACCCATCCCATTTGCAGCCAGTATGTGTGAAGAGCTCCTTGACCAGTGTGTGTCTTGTGCAGCCCAGTGTGACTGCATTTCTCCCATGGCAGCAGGGGGCTCTCCATACACAGTTGCTTTCTGGAAGGGCAGCTGTCCATCCCTGTGGACATGGCTGTGGGCTTGACTCCCTGCACTCCCAGCCTGGATCTGGTTTGCCTCTTTCAGTCCTGACAGACTTCTGTGAGAAGCACCTCCCTGGCTGCATCCCAGTAACACAAAGGGAGGAAAGCATTACAGACAGGCCTGGTCCCCTGAGCTCGGGGAGGCGTTCCCCACTGCCTTGCAGGCCAGCCTGCCGGGGCCCAGGAGTTTGGGCAGGTCTGGCTCTACCCTCTGGGTGTGTCCGGTGCCCCTGCCCTCCCCCCTCCTTATGAAGGTTCCACCTCCTCTGGCTGGTCACGTCCCCTTCCTGCTTCTCTGCCCACAGGAAGTCTGCACTTTGCTGTTGGCAGCTCATCTGCTGGGCGATCAGATCAGCCTTCTGAACTGGCTGGGCTTTGCCCTCTGCCTCTCGGGAATATCCCTGCACATTGCCCTCAAAGCCCTGCACTCCAGAGGTAACCAGATCTCCCCTTTCAGAGGCCTGTCTCCTGAGAACATTCTCCTGTGACTCTGCCCCACTGATTTCTGCTCTACCCAGCCCTGCCAGAAAGAGGCAGGTGGCTCTTGACTCCTCAGAGCAGTTCCAGTCTCGTGGCTGTCTGTACAGTTCAGCTGCCTCTGCATTGGCTGTCCCTTCAAGTCAGGAAGTTTGCCTGGTGATTCTGCCACCACCATTCCCCCAAGTCATAGGGGTCACCTCCAGGGGGTGGGTGGGTGAAGCCCTGGGTGACTCAGCACACATGCCAGGGGAAAAAGACTGGGTCTGTAATGGGGCTATCTTTTATCTCCAGGTGATGGCGGCCCTAAGCCCTTGAAGGGGCTGGGCTCCAACCCTGACCTGGAGCTACTACTCCGGACCAGCCAGCCAGATGAGGAGGACAATGAGGAGGAGTACTTTGTGGCCCAGGGGCAGCAATGACCAGCCAGGGGACCAACTTGGAAACAGGTTGCTCCCCAGCCTTCACACCTGTCAGCGGCTCTGGGACCCACATGGCCCCTCACAGCTGCCAGGGAACGGTGGAGCAGGAGTCTCCTGCATTGGGCCTCGGAGAACACATGACCACACGGTGGAACCAAGGCAGGGAGCTGGTCCAACAGGGGTGAGCACCAGGCCAGCCTCAGACAGGGCCGGAGGCGGGTCCAAGCTGTGCTGGCTTCACAGCAGGGGAAGAGAGTGGGCTGTTCTCAGCTGCTTGCCAGGCTCTGAGCGCCAAAATGGCAATGTCAGAGGCATAACAGGTTTCTAAGGGGACTGGGTTTGGACTGCGGAGCAGTTAGATATGGGAGATGGAGGATCTGGGGCCTCATCACCTGGAGAGCATCTTTTCTCAGAGAGCAGGTCTATTTATAGTTTGGAAATAAAGGGTTTATGGTCCACTGGCTGCCTTGTATTGCCTGGAGGTGCGGGGCAGGGAAGGGCAGTGTGGGTTTGGCCTCTCCCCTCCTTTCCCTGCCTGGGGACTTTCTTCAGATGACTGGTCATACTCCAGGCCTCCCACGTCCTTTGTGTGCGTGTGCTGTCTCCTGGGGCCCCACCATACCTGCAGTCAGGGAAAAAACAGGTACTGAGCATCAATCCTGGGGATGTCAGCCTGATTTGAATCCCAGCTCTGTCACTAGCTGTGTGACCTTAAGCAAATTACTTAACCTCTCTGTACCACAGTTTTTTCATCAGTGAAATGGGGATAATAATTATCTCAGAGTTGTTCTGAAGATTGAGTCAATATTGGTAACAGGTTAAACGTTATATAAGTATGTATTTTGAAAATCCTTTTATCATCTGTGGAACCAAGGCCTTGAATGAGTGGCCATATTAGGATTCACAGCCAGGGCTGTGTACCCACCTGCACGTCCAAGGAGCAATGTAGAAGTTTGTGGGCCTCTGGGACTTGGGCCTTCTGCTCACCTACCTTGGACATGTCCCGCTGCCCCTCTAGACTGCAGTCTTTATAAAATGTAGAGGGAGGAGGTGAGATCCCAGCTCTAATGTGCTTTCTGACGCCTGGCCTGCTCCCGTGAGCTGGTTCCCCTACCGTCATATGAGAGTTGCTGGTCCCCGTCCTTCTGGGCAGAAGTGCTTTTAGGCACTCACAGCAGGTGGCGCTATTGCACCACACTTCTGCTCCCATAACTGCCCAACCTGCGCCACTATGCAAACCCAGGTAGGGATCCTGGGAGGACGGTGGTGTCTGCAGGGTGGAGACCAGGTTGGGACTTGTTATGAACTGTTGTAGATCTGAGCCACGATAGCTCAGCCCAGTGAGTCTAGAAGAAGGTTAATACTTCAGAAACTGGTTGGCAAACTTTCTCTGCAAAGGGCCAGATAGTAAATATTTTTTGTTTGGGGGCCATATGGTCCCCGTCGCAGCTACTCAGGTCTGACATGGTAGCAGGAAAGGAGCCACAGTTTTAGGTCCAGAAGCGAAAGGGCGTGGCTGTGTTCCAGTGAAAGCTTGCTTGCCGAACCAGTTTGGCTCGTGGGCTGTAATTTGCCAACCCCTGCTGTAGAACAGTCTTGCAGAGTGAGCCCCACTCTCAGCCTTATGATGAGAGAAACTGAGGCCTGGAGGGGGCAGGCAGTGACTAGCCTAAGGTCCCCAGAGCCTCTGGGTTCAAAAGGAATCAGAACCAAGATTTCCTGCCTCCAATTCAGCTTCACAACTCAGACTTCTGGAATGGAGGTGTGACACCCAGATAAGACGCCCTGAAGTGGTGTCTTATCTGGTTCCTGCACCTCTGCCCGCCTTGGATTCTGCAAGCTCAAAGGCTAGGATTAAAGGAAACTTACGCTCCACCCTGGCTGATGTGGGGAGAGCCAGCAAAAAGGAGTGGCCGGCTGGGGGTGTCCCAGCCTCTGCTGCAGAGGCTGCTTGGGATGCAGGAAGCTTGGGTGGTAGGGAGAGGCTGCCAGAGCCCTGCTGGCTCAGGTGGATGAGAGCTTCCTGTCTGCTCCCCCCTCCATCCCTGCCTCCCCACACAGGAAGCAAGTGCTGTCTGGTGCAGTAATTACAGGGTGCAGAGCAGGGGCCCCCACCACCCGCATGTTGGGTTCAGTGACAGCCCCTCACTTAGCGGCAATTACCAGCCAAGCCTAGAGGAGGGCTCCCCTCCTCCTCTCCAACCCATCCCGCCCAATCGCCTGGCCTCCTGGGCCAGACAGCGTCACCCTCATCTTTGAGCCCTAGAAGCACCCATGCTGTCTGCAGCCATTGCATCTCAGGGCTGCAGCATCACCATAGCAACTCAGTGCTTGTACAGGTTGAAGGAAGCTGAGGATGTGACTTGTCTCTCCAAGGCTGTGGCATCTGTCCCCACGAAGCCTCCAGCTCCAGGGCTTCTGCTGAGGAGGGTGGAAGGGAGGAGGGCTGACCTAGAGGTTCGAGTTTTAAGTGCTTACAAGCCCACTGCCTCTCCTGGGGGCCTCTGGTGGAAGGAAGGTTAATGCCCCCAATATATGAGGATGTCTGCAGTCGGGGGCGTGGTGGGGATGCGAACGAGCTGGAGTTTGCCGGTGGGAGAAAGCTGAGACATCAGGCTGGACCTGGACTACCTTCATCTTCATTCTGGTACCTCCTCTGCCAGGCAGGCTCAGGAGATCACCTCCATCCATTTTTTGCTCCATTCTGCTGAGAAAAACCTAAAACCTCCAGTGGCTTGGGAGTAGAGTTGCATGGCACCAAGAGAATTGTTTGTGGTACTTGCCTCTGTTTTCTGTATCATGGACTGAGTTGGGTCCCCAATTTGCAGTCCAGGGAACTTAGGGTGGGGACTTCCTGATCCTCCATTTGGGTCGACAGCATTCAGTGAGTGCTGGCTGCATGCCAGACACTGCTGGACCTCGGATAGAGATGTTTGTCCTTGGAGAGATGGCGAATGGGGCCATCATTCCTCCCAGCCCACGGAAGCGTTGAGGCGCAGGAGACGAGGGAAATGGGAAGGAGAACAGTGTGAACGTTCACTGGGCACCTTCTAGGTCTCTCACATCGGTTATTTAATCGCTAACAACCCAGTGCAGTAGGAATTGATTGCACCTATTTCCTAGTCGTGGAAACTAAGCTCGTAGAGGTTAAGTACAATGGCGCCTAAGAACACAGCCTCGGGACGCCACCAGGCTTGGATTCACATCTCCCTTGCCCAGAGATCAGCTGTGTGTCTTGTGCATGTTGCTGATTTCCTCTGAGCCTGTTTCCTTTTCTATAAAGATGGAATAATAATATATATCTCCCAACGAAGCTATTGTGAAGATGAAATAAAATCATGTATGTAAGGTAGTTAGCACAGTGCTGGGCATGTAGTAGTAACCACTCAGCAAATGTCAGCAGTGAGGATGTGGTGACAAAGTAAGTGAGAGGAGGAGCAAGCATTGGAGTCCTGGCCTTTTGAGGTCACCATCCCTGCCACAGTGTCTGGGACAGTGGAGACACTTAACAGATGTTTGTTCTATGAAGGAATTTCCAGTAGTGAAAACAAGTGGGAATTTTCCAGGTTCCAGGGACCAGTTTAACTTCTAAATGACTTGCCCTGCAAGAAGAGGCTGTCCACTGCCCCCACAACCCACCCCTTTTTGCCAGCCTCCCTCCTCCCAGCCATCCCCTTGAGCCTTCATCCTAACCACATGGCCCTGACCTTAGCCAGGCCCCTTTGACCTTGCTTGGTAGTAACCAATTAGCTTGACTTCTGTTCCCATGGTCATTTACAGTTTCTTTGGCAACTGGTACATTTCCCCCAGACACTAGGCCCTAGTCTGGCTGGCATCCTGCTGGTGGGCCCATCTTTTTCTCCTGGATGTCTGTTGAGAACTCTCCTGCTGGGACAACAGAGGGACAGAACAGAACTAGGAGGAAATGCATTCAAATGCATTCAGCAAATGTTTCTGGAGCATCAACACACCCTGCCCAGTGAGAGCTGCTGGAGATAGAGAAATCATTGAGATGCTGTTGCTGTCCTCGAGGAACTTCTGCAGGGCTTTTAAATCCAGCGGGTTCCCTGGGAAGTAAACTCAGAGGGCTGCCTTCCAGCCACACTTCCTGCATCTGGGGGAGTATGTCTTTAATTCCCAAAGGAGGATCTGAGCAGCCCGTCACAGAATCTACCACGCCTAAGGTCCACAGCCTGGCTTCAGGAACAACCAGGGGTCTCTGAAGAGAAAAGCATCATCTGGAGAATGTGTGCCATTCCCTGGGGGAGGTTTCCTTGGCCCTCCAAAAGATTGAGAATCACTGGTCTAGGGAAAGCCAGACTTGTCCAAAACTTAAAAACAACATGATCAAAGATGCACCCTATTGGAGCTCAATGAATATGGATGGATGGATGGATGACGGATGGCTGGATGGATGGATGAGTGGATGGATTGATGCCATAATAGAAGAATATGCGGGAGACAGAAGAGGGAGCAACCAGTTCTGCCTGGGGCAGGAGGAGAGCAAAGATTCCCAGGAGCAGCGAGCTGATGAAGTCAGACTTGAAGACTGAATATAAGTTTCCAAGCAGAAGAAAGGAAATAAGCATGCCAGGCAGGAAGCAGATGCAAATACACGGAGGTCCGGGTGAACATGGGGGTGGTGTGTTTTGGCACCATAGGAATTAGTTCAACGTGGCTGGCCAGAGGTGCATGTGGGTAAGAGGAAGAGAAAGGGGGTTCCCTCCTTTGAAAAGCCCACAGGTTCCAAGGAGGTATCCTGATAGGAATTGCTCAGGGGGCTTTTGAACAAGCCGGTATCTCCCCTCCCCCACCAACACTTAACAATTGCCCTGTCTTTAGGTGGGGGGAGGGGGAGGTCCTAAAGATAATCCCACACAAGTGAAGAGCATCTGATCGTTTACTACCTCCTTTCCCATCCTTCTTTGCTCCTGCTGTCCACCCCTGGCGGTTGGGTGTTATCAACCACCCTACTTTCCAGAGGAGAAACAAACTAGAGAGGCCAGGTGACTTGCCCAAGGTCACTCACCTCCCTTGCTCCCAAGCACAGCCAGGAGCCATCCCTACGGGACTCACACATCCCAGTGCCCTGCTTTCCACTTCTCTGCTCTGAACCCCTCTTGTTGGGATGCCAGCGATCTCACTCGCCTCAGGGAATTTGGCTCCTCTGGTTAGGAGTGCAAAGAATTGCATGCCACAGGGGTCTAAGGGTCTGGCGGGGGCAGCATCCCCGCTGACCACGTTTTGCTCTGGGAGGAATCCCCCACTGAGCCAGAGCCTCCGTCCTCTTCCAGGGCTGCCCCATGAATTAAACATGCCCCCGTGGTTAACTCAGTAATGCTTTTATTAATAGTTAATTACTCAATGCGCACTGGGGAAATGAGCCTCACTCAGGCCTTGTAAATTAAGGCAGTGATCTCGTGAAGGAAGCCAGTGGGAGTTCATTACCCCCTCTCCCTTCGC